TAAAAATGTTAAATACGGTATCAATAGTTCTTTTATTTCTACTTAAATATTTTCACCGTATAAACAAACGAAAATCAATCACATATACACACTCTTCGAGGGAAATGCTGTTGAAACTTTTCTTATTCGATTAATTAATGTCAACTAATTGGCCCGTTTCGATCAGTGACGTTTTTTCTATCGAAAAGCTTTGACTATTGTTTATTTGAAGGTAAACTGATGGAATGTATAAAAAGAAGTATCTATCCAAATACTAAACGTAGCTAGAATATAAGTAAATCCACATCGGAGTGTGTACATCTAACATAATTTAACTAGTTTTATCAAAGGAAATTATAGAACAACAGTTAAAATAGAATTATTATAAGATTTCAACTCAGATTAACAAGAAAAAAAATATTCAAAGAAATATGACGAAGAACAAATAGATACTCATAGAAATATCAAACAAACACAAATAAAAAACAATTATCAAAAGATAAATGCGCGAAGTCATTTCGAATGTTTTTAGGATTCTTTTTTATGATTGAATTGATATTGAAAAACGTCATTTCTTATACTAGAATTTTACTAAAATAAGATTGTTTCAGTTTGATTTAAAATAAAGAACAAGAGTATTAATCGAAACCAAAATTGTTCTACTGGTTCGTATATATATCAAAATCAGCCATGTACCTGCAAAAGATCTGAACGCATTGAAAAATTTCTACAGGTGTTGAATCGCTTTACAACGGCAACTAAAGCAACAGACTATGAGGAACAAATTTCTGATGTCGTAACCGCAATCTCTATAGTACGTGCACAAGCTGGTCTATGTTAAGTTCGTAATTTCTTTCTAATCAATTTAGAATGAAAAATTGTTGGTACTGCTACAGGTGGTTTTGTCAATAGATTTTGATGAAAGTAAACATACTATAGATGATGTCGCTCAGCACTATCTAAAAAAAGCAAGCAAAAGTGTTGAACACTTGGTTTCTATTAAAGTCTTGCCGATGGGAACTGTCTTTTCAATTCAATCGTGTTTCTTGTACCTGACTCTGATGTATCTACTGTTGAATTAAGAGGTTTGTCATTTTTATGAATATCACTGATAATTGTCTATGTTGAATTTGCTAAACTTGATTGTTTGATTTCAATGCGAACGGTCATCGAGCTTTTCAAAAATAGCATACACTATACTACATAATGTAGCAATCTTGTCGGCCCTTTCAATGAAGCATTTAGAAGAACATGTAACAATTATAGTTTTTCCGAACTTTATGGGCTTGTAGTGTTTGCTACTGTTTTACACTGCGAAGTGCAAACAGTATATCCATATAACGATTATCGGGCTGAAATAAAAAGCATGAATGCAGTGTACGAACCATTGGACACATCTGTGTCAAATAATGGAAGACTGATCATCTTTTGGACCAGTAGCGAAGATGAACTTTCAACAAGGACACGTCCTGGTAGTGACGATGTCTGGAGTCCAAATCATTTTGTATCGCTTCTATATCAATATCAAAGCCATCGAACAACAAGTAACGAGCAGGTCCGAATGACACCAGAGGTAAAGCATCAAGGTGTATCAATCACAAAAATATGTAATCGAAATTCTATCTTTGTTTAGAGTCCTCGAAAGCAAACAATTAAGAACAACCAAGTGTTATCTGTACGAAGTCCCGAGTTTTCACCGCCTTCCACTGCTAGAGAGCATAAAACATCATATATATCTATTGAGGAATCAATATTAAATTCAGATACCTACGATGTCCAGCGAAAACATCAAGAGATAGCTGTCGACGATGATCAACAGTGGAAAAAATGTCTCGCCTATCATCGACTGCGAAGACGTACCACAAGAGAACATGAAAATGAAAATCAACGAAAGATACGACTTGCAGACCAACGGGAGCGATCCATCAGAAGTAGAGTAAATAGAAGCGAGCAAAGAAGTAGACTGTGGGTGTGGGTAGTCTCTAAATCTTAGACCAAATTCACACTCACCCACACCCTTTTTGTGTTGCTGCATAACTGTATTTTTAGTGGCACAAAAAACATAATTATATTTAATAGACGTGACTTTTTTTACGCAGTTTTATTAATGATGTTGATGAGATCAAATAACTAACGAGAAAATGATAGATAAATAAAATTTCAATCTTTAATATGTAAAAAAAATGAATTATTTATTATTTTGCACAGTAGAGTCATAGTTCGGCGGTAAATCATCATCACTAAACATGGATTGTTCAGGATTTGAAGCATAAGAAACGATCACAGGATTAAATGTTTGTTGTTGATTTAGATCAGGATATGGTTCTGTTCCCAATGTAATTGGTACATTAACATCAAAATTAGTAAAAATTCCTTCAACTTTAACTGCAAATCTAAGCATATAAAAAATATTAACTAGAGCAACTCTTTGAATTCCTCCTTGAAATTGATATGAAGGTGGTATTGATACAGAAGGAATTATTATAGAAAATGTTTCTCTTATTTGTTGATCTTTTAAATTAAGAATATTTGGTAATGTTGTTTGAAATATAGTATGTCCACGTGAATTTCGTCCAATTTTATATGATTGTAACATTGAAAGATTAATACGTTGAATTAAAACTTTTCGTGGATTTTCAATTTCTAATGTCATATAAATTGATTCTCCAGGCACATATCCTAATTTATTTAAAATACCTTTTAATTTTATGTCTTTTCTATTTTGATTTCCAAATATAGTTGATAATAGACATTGAGGATTGTGTAATAGATTAACACGTGGAAATATTGTTAAATATCTTGTTTCTCTTGTATTTGGTTTATACCATGGTTTATCAATAACAACTTGTAAATAATATCGAACATGAGGATAAGATTGAGGTTGATTTATTGTTGGTGGAAGATGCTCAGTTAATGGAATTTGAAATGACCATGAATATTGTCCTTGACCATAAATGAATTCTTTTTGTCCAGGTTCAGGCCGAACAAAAGTAACTTTAGCAGAATAAAATGGAACATGATGATATTCAGTTCGTGTTGATGTTCGACCTCTACCAGTTGAAACAGTTCGAGTTGTTGTATAACCAATTTCACCTGTTAATATTATATAAATTTCGTCTGCTTCTAGTTTCCCTTCTATGATGTTTAAATTGACTGTTCCCGATACAGATTCACCAGAAAAATAAAATAAATTGTTTCGATCAAGATTAATTGCAATTGCACTACTGTTACTGTTACCCATATTTAATTTACTTAGTTTTTAGTTACACTTTAGAATATTAATCATTTATATATACAAGAGTTTTTTTTTTCGTAAGCATATTTTAAGCACAAGCGTTCATAAGATAAGATAAATAAATAAATATATCACTATTCGTTTGACGTCATTTGATGACAATAAAATTGAAGATAACAAATCTTATCATGACTAACAGTAATGATCATCTTCGATAACTACTCATTCTGTTGACGTCGAATATTTCACAACTCTTGTTGATTATTTTCGATACACTCGCTAACAAGTAGCTAAATAACTAAGATATTATGTAGTAAAATAAAATTTACTGAATCTGACGTATTCTAAAAGATGTTCTTTGATAATAGATACGTGATATTATTCGATCTAGTTTCAATTTTTTTGTTTGCGCTTTTTGATATATACGATCTTATAGTTTTTTGGATTTAATATGTTGGAATAGAGTTTTAATTTGGTTCTTATTTGTGTCGATACTGAAAATCATCGATGAGAAACATTTTTATCTTGTGAAGTTGTACAATAAAGGAAAATTATGTAATAAAATAAATAAATAAAACATAGAAAAGCTTTTTTAATAATTTGTCTATTCTATCCTCTATTCTTTTCTGAAAAGTCATTTATACGACTGTGATAAATGATGATTTTGCAAAGGAAAAGATCAACAGCTTTTCATGTTCAACTATTAACTTCTCGGATGAAATTAAATTTTCTTAAATATATTAATGAAGATTTGCTCTAACTTTATTTTCTAAATGACGATAAAAAAATCATGCATTAGAATATAGTTTTTCATATTGACTGTGATACAAAGGACAACTTACCATTTTGTTAAAATTGATGACGATTTTAAATTACGAAGATACGTGGATATTATTATAGACCAATGAATTAATTTTCTATTTGTCATTTTTTATATATTATCGGATTTGACTGCAAATGTTATGATTTTAAAAATAATCATTTGATTTCCTTTTTTTTTGTAGTAATGAACATTGCACGTTTATTTTTCGTCACGCTTCTCACTTTGATTGATTAATTTATTATTCAGTTCTTTTTAATTGTATTTTACTCTATTCAATTCAATTTTTACTTTACTCTTACTTGATAAGAGGTAAATAAAAACTCTCTATTATTATATAAGAAAATTAAATATTTTCTTTATTCTTACATAATAAAAAAAAAAGAATTGTTTTTATTTTTTGGAAGAACAAAGAAGATAATGAAGTTTTCAAACAATAACAAAAATCTATTCTTTGAATACATACAAAATACACAAGAAATTGTAAAGTATATTTTCGTATATATTTGTTTGGCTGCTGCTGTGGCCGTATTAGTGTAATTCAACGTGCTTAGATTCATCTACGAGACGATATTTCAGTTGAACAATTCTCTACATACTAATCACATGTCTTCACTAAAGATCTAATTGCCTAGTGCAAATTTATTCATTCCATCAGATTTCATTATCACAAATGTTTTAATAAATGTTGATGCACTATCAGAAGTGTATCGTTTGTTTACATGAAAAAAGTACATTCTCGTGACAACCAATGTAGCACAAGCAATAGAAATATATAACACACAATATAATTCACAAAAGAAATTGATAAAAAGCCAAGTAGGAAATAAATCAGTGAATGGACGTAAACTTGCCAAAAAATATACTGAAAAATGTCGACGTTAACCGAAGCTATCAATATGTGTCCCATCAATTATGACACTTTGCTCCAGAAGAAATAGATGGAGACGTTGAAAGTATGAATTTTGATTTACACTAAGATTAATTTATAGTTTAAAAATTTATGAATATATAGTAGCGTCACATTTGAGATAGGCTCAGTTCGGAGTTTCTAAAATTTAAACCGAATTGAAAAAGAACCAAAAAAAGAAAGTCTTTAAATTTCATCAGAGATAGCTAAAATTAATTTTTATTTCAGCTTGTTCACTTTATTGCAAATGATTTTCATCTAAACTTTTCCCATATAAGGGTGTGGGTGGGTATGAGTGTGGATGTTGCTTTTTTTCACAACCACATCCACAGCCATAGCCACACCCACACCCACCCTACGATACGATAGATTTATCTACGTTGTTGAATCGAGAGATCAACCAAACGATTGATCCTAATTTAATTCTGTGACACTCTATAGAATTGTGATTCATCTGATCTTTTTTTACTCCATGGCTAATGATTAATAGGAAAAACTGCTTTTCTGTAGTAGAAAGCAAATCATTTTTTAAACAAAGAAAATTGTATGTATTCTTAATTTTACATTTGAATTGAATGGTCAACGAAGAAACTTGAAAAAGAAAACTCTGAAATAACCGATACAGAAAAGAAAACAATAATCGAAATGCACATATTATATTATTCTTTATCTAGTTCGAGTGAGCCTGGAAGAAGTGAAGATATAATCGACTTACGAGGGAACATTCCCAAGTGTCACATCGCTTTTGAGTCGAGCATATGTGCATCATGTAGATCCTAATGAGGGTGTGAGTGTGGATGTGGGTGTCGGAGTGGGTGTGGATCTGTCCCTTGTTCACACCGTCACCGGTACTTACACCCACCCACACCCACGCCCACCAGAATAAGTCATCCTGTGCCGTTGATTTCAAATTTTTTTATATTCCATTTATTTACATCGCAGTACTTATCTTAGAAAGACCAAAGAGGATATCTATGCAATATTGCTTAGTACAACTCGCAGACATAAAAATCAATATCATTTAAAATTTATAAATTTGGTAGTCAGAAATCGATTGGTTTCGATGTGATTTAGAATATGAAGGACACACAAGTTGTAATCTTAAACAGTCATGTGAAATTTTAATGTTCACAAGTCATTGTTTTATTAAAACAGATAGCTGTAATAAATAATTAAACTAAATGAATACAATATTTAATTTTACTAATGAGCCAATCTTATTTCGTGATGTCTTGTTATTCAACAGATGTCTCGTCAAGCACATGGTTTTTTTCATCAGAGTATATGAATATACGAACAAATGTGAGCAAATCATTAAAAAATCAATTTATTGGTCTAAGGAGAAGGAATAAGGTCTAATTGCATATACTTTTTTGTAAATGTCGTTTTTATCGAACCTTGAGAAATCACTATGCATTATTCATCATATTTTGTTAAATTACCGATCACGATACATGGTGCAGTCAACTGGAAAAAAGTCTATAAATATATAGAAAAAAAGACTTGAATTATAACAGTTTGAATTTACAGATGAATATGAATTCAAAAGTACTTGTATACATTTGGGTTTATATAATTTTTCACTACGCTCTAGCAGGTAAATATTTAAGTTGATTTTTAATAAGTGCCTGGTTGATATTAACAACATTTCTATATATTTATTTCCAGATGAAAACCAATTATATTACGTTATGAGCTCTGGTAACGATGACAATTCGGGAACCACCCAAACCAATGCATGGCGTACTATTCAAAAGGCAGCCAGTAAAGCTATAGCTGGTTCTACTGTCTACATTGGTCCTGGAACATACTATGAAACTATTACAATACTCGTCCAAGGAAATCTCTTCAATGGATCAATCACATTTACTAGTTTAATGCCAGATAACCCGGCGATTATCTCGGGTGAAAATGCTACAGTTGCATCACCCGATGGTACACTAAATTTGATCTATATAGAAAACAAAAGTTATTTAAATATTATTAATCTTGAATTGGCTAATTTGAAAGGTAGCGAATGTAGTGGAGTCAGGATTGTTGGCGGTGGAACACGAATTGGTATGTATTACTCAAAAAATATTCATAAAATTTTCGAATACGATTCCTAAAAAATCATAGGTATTTTGAGAAATAGCAAACGATTTTTCACCATACTAATCAAAGTTATTTAATGTTTATTTTTATATTAAAATTAAATAATCTTTTCTTTTTTTAGAGCTTCGCAATTTACATATACATGATATACTTGGCGGAGGAAAGACAGGTGGAGCGATGGCAATTACGGTTTATAACAAAAATCAAGAGACGAGTCTCAGTAAATTAATCATCGATAATTGTACATTATATGATTGTGAACCAGCTTGGAGCGAGGCTTTAACTCTCAATGGTAATATTGAATTGTTTCAAGTGACTAACAATCGCGTCTACAATATGAATAATATTGGCATTGATTTTATAGGTATGAATTGCACTTGACTTTAGAATCACTTTAAATATTGAGATGTAATTTATGATTCTAACTGTTTTTAGCAAACTGCAATAGTTTAATTTACGAGATTTATTTGTTTTCTTTTGGATAGGCGGAGAAAGTAACATGGGAGCTCTTGGGGCTCGTTCTGGTCAATGTTATTATAATACAGTATGGAACATTCATTCTTCATATGATTCTAGTGCAGCTGGTATTTATGTAGATGGAGGATCTGATATAAATATAGGAAAGAATGAAGTTTATAATTCGGATGCTGGTATAGAAATCGGTGCTGAAAATCAAGGTCGAATAGCGTCAGGAATGGTTGTTCATGAAAACTACATTCATGATAATGACAAAGCTGGTCTTCTCTTTGGTGGATACGATTTCGAGTAAATGTTTCGATCGTATTTATGATCTGAAAGAGAGAAATTTTTTGTTTTGTTCTAGACGAGGACGTGTCATCAATAGTACATTCCAAAATAATCGACTGGAAAATAACGATGTCAAACATACTGAAGCTGGAGAAATTGTCGTTTCTTTTGCATCCAATAATTTTGTCTATTCCAATGCAATCAAACCAAACATAAAAAATATTATTCTAACTGTAGATCAGATAGGTGGTTTGGATAATGTATTCAATCGACAATCATATTATCCGAACGGATCGAATGCAAACGAAAGCAATCTAATTTTTAATTGGGGTAATCAACAATATCGTGGACTGAGTGCATTTCAAAATGCAACCCAACAAGAATTACAAGCCTCTGTTCTCTCATCAAAGGCTGGATTGGTATGATGAAAACTCTGTTTTATCCAAAACTAGGGATGCAACTAATCTTGAGATAGATTTGGATTTGGATGTGAATGCAATATTTGGATTCAGGCTTGAATTTGTGGTCTAGGTTTGAACATAGGGTTGGTTTTGGAGATTTAGGTTTGGATTTGTTCATCATTTGTCCCAAACCCAAAGGATTTGATAAGTTACGGTGTTATTAACAAATTTACTGTACTAAGGATAGAATACAATCAGAAAAAAATTTAGACATCTAAGATCAAATCCAATTCCAAACACAAACGGTTCGTGGCCAAACCCTAAATTTTTTTTTCTTTCTATCCTATCCCTATTCGAGTAAATTGTTGCTCGTAACACCATATCTTACCAAATCTTTTGGACTTTGGGCCAATGATGAACAAATCCAACCCTATGTCCAAACCTAGACTACAAAATTCAAACCCGAACCCAAATCAAATCCAAATCTATTTTCAAGTCCAAACCCAATGATGCCAAACCCCAAACGTTTGGGTTTGTTGCATCCCTATCCAAAACTTCATACGCTAAATAATTTGACTTTGTTTTTAGATACGTTATCCATCAATGTTGTGCATTCTTCCATTGATCATCACTTTCATAGCATCAGCAAAAGCTTACTAATTAAATAAACAAACATGCTCGAATTAGATTCTTTGTGTGTGTCATCGCATACTTGTCATAAAATATATTTTCGAAAATGAATACTAATATCATCTAGATCTTCGCTTGGTTGATCGAATACCGTTATTAAAAAGAAGTGTACCGCTTTAAATATTTTAGATTTTCTGCTATGTTGAATGATTCAACTTCATTTGATTGAATCTGAAGCTTGAAAGAAAAAGAAAATTCAGTAACTGATAAGTCCGATAAATTGCCAAAGAACTGATTCAAAAATCATAGAAAATAATGATCTTCGTTCGATTAGCCATCACTGACAATATCAATGTTATGCACCCATGTTGACATATAGATTGAAAACGAAAACTGCAGTTACAAGTCATGGAGAGAACACAGCGATATTCGAGAATTATGTATTTTTTCACTTACGTCAGAAATGCGGCAGTGGCATGTCCTATCTCGAACTAGAGATTGATGAATATATTGTCAAGTTATTTGACATTTGAAATGACTTTTTGAATGATATGGTAAATTACTAGTGCTTTGGGTGTGTGTGAGTGCAATGGGTCCTGAGGCAGCTAAGCTTGAGCGAAACAAAATTTTTTTCGGTGGCGTAGCCAAGGGGAAAGAGGATCGGTCCCCTTCCAAGAAAAATTCCCTGGTGGAGTACAGAGTTCAATTTTCGCTTCGCGAAATTTTTTTTTACTATGATGGTCCCCCTTCGAACCCTGGTTCCTCCTCTTAGAAAACTTCTGGCTACGCACCTGATTTTTTTTCGCATTAGATCTGATATTAATGTTTCTCTTGCAACCTAAAATGTAACAACTTCTCGCAAAGCGAAAACTTTTTGCAACCTTCTTAAAAAATTCGACTTTCTCGGGCAAATTTTCAAGAAGACAAATCATGTCCAATGTAAGAAAATTTTTCAACAATTCGGTCGGCGAAGGCGGCCACGCTGGTGACGATTGTTCTCGATTAGGTCTTTCAAAGGGAAAATCGACTAAACTTGGAAGTTTTTCTAACTTAACTTTGGTTACACAACTATTATTTTTTGCGAAGCGAAAACTTTTCTCAGACTTATGAAAAACTCGTCTTTTGCTTATTTTTTTTCGAAAGGAAAGAGTGTTGCGATAAGTCGTAACAACTTTGCCGCCAAAGACGGCCACCTAGTGGTGATTGCTTGAAAATGAAGCTGCTCACAAGGTAGAAAACCGTAAAATTGTCATAAAAATAGAAAAATCGTAGACATTTTTAGGCTGAATACGCTTATATGGTTATTCCTTCGCGAAGCGACAGATTTTAACATCTCAGAATTTTCTAGAAAAACCATCGTTTTACACTGAGTTTCGAGGAAAAAAAACCATCTGATTTCTTCAACTTGCCATAGAACTTCATGTTTTTCACTGATATCCCAACTATAGTTTACAATTATTCGGG